GGGGTTGGGGGTCAGGGATTGGGGGGTTTATGGTGAGTGTGTTAGTGGTGGAGTTTCAGCAAACACAGGCCTCAGCAGACATTGACAAGAACGTACCTGGCTTTCTGCAAACGTTAACCTTCCGCCCAAAAACTTTGAAAAGGGGGCTGGGGGTGTTAGTGGCAGGGTAGGGATGGATTTCCCACCCAAAAACTTTGAAAAGGGGGGTGGGGGTTATAGTGTTAGAGGGTGCTTGTCACTGCTGTCTGGTCCAAGTTGCCCTCGATACTGGTAGGCCATGGTCCTGAGTGCTGGTCACACTGAGGTAGGATAGTAGGTATAGGGGGTGCGCTGGGAGCATTAACGTGGGGAAGGGTAGGGAAGGTGGCCTATCCTGTCAGGACAACCACCGGCTGCCGCTGTCAGCGATCACCGTGGGCCTAGTCCTTGGCCTCTACAACACCCTGGGCTTTGTAAAAAAAAAAGGGGATAATTTGCAAAATACCCCGATAAGTTGAGATATATGCCAAAATGCCCCTAAAAGATGTGGGTAGAGCAGAATGCCCTTTTGGGCCGAAATCTTTGTGTTGTTCCCCTGTCAGGCGGGTTTCCAACTTTGAAATCTGGAGCGTCCCATTTGGGCCTTGGCCTTTTGCAATAGCGCCTAGAAGAAGTTGGCAAGTACTAGGGCATATTGCAAAGTTGGACGACACCCAGTAAGGGTATATTGCAAAGATTGGGGTCCAACCGAAGCCAGGGGTATTTCATAATTTTTTTTTTTTGTCAGAGGGGCATTCCGCACCGCCCACATCTTTTAGGGGCATTTTGGCACATATCTCAACTTATGGGGGTATTTTGCAAATGATCCCAAAAAATATATATATAAAAAAATGATGCGCTACAGCCAACCGGGGGGCAACCGGCCAGGTCGCCTGGTCGGTAGGACCGGTCCTGTTCCAGTTGGGGGAGGCCCCCCCTGGTCCTGCCGGGTTTGCAGCACTGGTGAAAAGTCCTCCTCCTCCATTTTTTTTCCCCCCTTTAGATCAAGGCAAAGTTTTGCATTAGAGTTACGGACTATACTAAAATATTGTCACAATGTCGAGGAGCACATCGAATCGTTGATCTTTGCTATCCCCCTAGACTGGGTGCGCATCCTGCGCAGAGGGCCGCGGCTGGCAGAAGGAGACTGGGTAGCCGCCCCGGGGGATCCGGAAAGTGTAGGCAATGTGGTGGACGTATGACCGCACGAAACGCTGATTAACCTCTTCAACATAGGCAAAGATAATGTGCTCACTCGGTACAGCCCAGAGGCAATAAGATGGTGGAGAAATGCGGACCTGCACAGGAACGGTGTGCTTCGGGACAAAGATATGTGGATTGAATATCAGCCAAATACCCCCGTGGCAGAGCTCCTCTTTGACCCCAAGGAATGGCAACCAAAGGTGAACATAAAAGAAACGGTGAAGGCTCGATGGAGGTCTCATTTGAATGTAGGGACTGATGCAATCCGCCCCGTCCGATGGTTCACCGCCACAAGGTCTAGGCCAGCAAAGATGGCCTCGCTGCAGTGGCAGATAGAACATCGCTGCCTGCCCACCAACGACTGGTTGATAGATCGTACATATCTAGAGCAGAAGGGGCGGGCGCTACCGTGGTGTAAATCGTGTCACACCGTCTTCCCCTCCCACAAAATTCCGAAAACCATAAAGCATATATTCATGCAGTGTCCGGGGGCTGTTCTTACATGGCGATGGTGGGATAGGATCTGGACACTGTTGGACACTGGGTCCAACTGGCCATGGGATTAGAGCGTCATATTATGCGACACATGGACCTTCCTCACTGACCAACACTTTTGAAAATAGTATGTTCAAGCTAGGGAGGAGAGCGGTCATGTCGACTCTTTGGCGAAAACACTGTACCCATGCTATCGAGGGGGTCCGCATAGCTGGGGAAGAAGTAACAGACATGATAAAACAATATACTCAACAAGAACTTATGGTACAGTGGCAAAAAGTTAAAAACCAACTTGAGCTGTTTCATTCACCAAAGGGCATAACACAAGCAATTCATCAATTCTCCGAGGACTGGTTGGGCAGCGAGGATAGGGGCTGGATCGCATCTGTCCGATGGGATGGCAGGCCCGCCCAGGAGTGTAAACAGGAGGAATTCAGGAAAGACTAGCGTATTTGTTTCAGAGACTGGACTATGGTAGGCCAGGAGATCCCGCTGCGACCATCCACAAAATTTCCTGACCCCTTCCCACCCCACCAGCTGGCAATGGTCGATATGCAATGGTACGGAGCAGAGGGAGCATGACCACAGGCAAGACCACATACTGATGGGACCAAGTAAGGAAGCAGCGGGTCAACAAACAAGGCACGGAAGGTATCGGCGGGTATTCAGAAGAAGTAGGAGTAGCCACTAGGGAAACATGAGTGATCTGGCGGTCTGGCGCAGACTGAAGAGGCGGCGCCCTGAAGTGTACTGTGGTCCAACACGCTCATCATTAACCCTGCTCAGTTAATCCCCTGGAAACAGGGAAATCAATGCTGGCAGGTGGTCGGATGTACAATGGGATGCTGGACCCGCTTTCCATCAGGTGCTGCTCCCCACCAATAGACCGGAGCACCCAGGTCTCTTGCTAGGAGGGGGTGCTCTTATCACCTCTCCTACCAAAGACACCGGGATATTTCAAAAAAAAAAAAAAAAGATTTAGAAAAACGGTGCTGAGATTTAGCAAATGGAAAGCACTGGAACGCCACGTTTCAGCAAGAACATTAATTGTCAAATCCATGGGTACAAAAAAAAGAAGAAAATGAAAAGAGAAAGAAACTGGTGGGCTTTTCTCATCTCCTTTGTATTTTGTCTTATGGGTTTACCAACTTCCCCTTTATTGGATTATTGCCACGGGAATATGTGGAACTTGATTGATGAGGTGGCTGGGGAAGGCTGGAAAAAATGGAAAAAAAAAAGGGGGGTTGTATTTCAAAACTGCACTCAAAACTGCACTGACCTTTTGCCACTTCCCAAACCTCGACTCAGTCGACTGAGGGCATACTCACACACTAGGACTTTTCCCCACTTTTTTGTGGACGTAATTGCAGGCAGGTGCATCCACGCCGGGTCGGAAAAGAGGTCATATATACATGAGGGAAAGTCCTAGCGTGTGTCACGTATGGCGGCACTATGCCCTGAGCCTGTTTGCGGAGAGCTCCGGAATGCAGACACAAGAAAAAGGGACTCTGTTTGGACTCTGGAGGCAGAGGTCGTTAGGCGACTTGAAAGGCAATGCGACAAGAAGACATGTGTGCTTAACAAAAAACAAACACGTGCAAAACAAGAGCATGCATGCGTGATCGCCTAGAAAAACCTGCTACCCAAAAAAAAAAAAAAAAAAACCCTGCTACCCTAGGTTAGCAGGGGTGCCAGGCTGACACACGCTAGCCTAGGTAAGCAGGGGTTGCCAGGCTGACACCCGTGACACCCGTGCACCCTTGTTCTCCAGTCTTCCCTCATGTCTTCTTCTTCTTCTTCTTCTTCTTCTCCTTCTTCTTCACCTTTTTCTTTGTCTTCGTGTTCTTGTTAAGGAGCCATCAGGGTGACACATCCCGCAATGCCCGATCATTATATCTGTATTTACAGCAGTTTTCAGGCCTGATACAGGTATGCCGACAGGGCAATTTGGCCCGGGGAGGGAAGGTAGTTTTCTCTGTAGTACTCGGTCTCTTTCGCCCGGCCACATGTTACCTAGAAGAGAGAGGACTAGGCGAGAGGAGAAAACGGGTACACACCAGCACTCTCTCTCACACATGCATACACATACACGATGACAGAACCTGTGCGATTTTGCGAGCAAGGGCACGCAAACTCAACCAAAAAAATAGTAAGACATTAAAATGGGAGTCAATGAACCCAGCCCACATGGCTGAATGGCGCATCCATGTAACTGTTGACAAGCAGACCTGAGTTCAAATCATCATGGAATCAAATGAAAGAAGGAAATGGGGAGTCAATGACATATTGACAACCTGCGGCCCGTCATGGACATCCGTTAAAATTGGAACGATACAGAGAAGATTCGCATGGCTCTTGTACAAGGATGACACACATCAATCGAGAAATGGTCCAACTGAAAAAAAAAAAAAAAAAAAAAAAAAAAAAANGAGAGAGAGAGAGAGAGAGAGAGAGAGAGAGAGAGAGAGAGAGAGAGAGAGAGAGAGAGAGAGAGAGAGAGCTCCCTTACTGTTGCCATATGTTGCATTATGTTAAGATATTGCATTCAAATGCACCGAGAACAGGTCCTTAAGAACTTCAGATGAAGCCTCCTGGTCCTCTCCTCTGCACCTAGGAACAGCTCGAAGCCAACACTGGAAATGGGTATAAGTGCCAAGCTCACAGCCAAACGAACAGGAAACAGGGCATACCTCTGCTGAATGCGAGAAATGAAACAAACTCTAACAAAGAGATGAGAAAAGCCACCCACCCATTCTTTAGGACATCAGTTCAAATTGGAACCATGCAGAGAAGATTAGCATGGCCCCTGCGCAAAGATGACACACATGAATTGAGAAATGATCCAATATTTTTGTTAGACAAAACACAGGCGTCCTAAGATGAGCTCAATGAGAACAGAAATCCCATGTGGAGAAATGGGAGGCAAGAAAAAAACAAAAAAAACACCTACCCATTTACTTAGCACATCCATGGGGCATGTGGAGAGACAGAAGCAGCATCAATGAAGTAAAATGAATTGCTCGCAATAACAATGGGAGATAATCATCTCACCCGGTCCATGTGGCTGAAAGGTAACGTCCAGGTAAAGACCCTGAGTTTAGTCCTGCTGGAAGCGCATGAGGGGGAAGGGTGGGGTGGGGTGGGGGGGGGGGAAGTGGCGGAACACGAGATAGATAATCTTGCCATTGTCTTAAACAGGATTGCATTACCAACTCGCGACAATACATCCAATCTCACACAGCGCTCTGCACAACAACATGATGAGCTCACCAATGCACGATGGTACATCGAATCCTTACAGTGCTCTGTTGTGAACGATGCTAGGTCCCCTTTCTTGCCATTCGGCACTTGAAATCCACAGGTTCCTAAATGTCGCAAGACTGGTTAAAATAGAGCCACCGACCCATGTGCTGAACTGACGCTCCGGAGGTGCAAAGATTTTCAGCTTCGTCCCACGTGGTGCCAACGCACGAAGCTCCTTCAGCAGCCGTTCGCCAAATCCTCTGAACAATGTATTGCCACCTGATACATGGATAAAGAATGTTCACTGTCATCTCCTTTGAAAAAGTCGATTAAACAAATGTGGATTCAATACCGATTTATCATTTATGTCCACAATCCACAAGCGGTCGAAGCACAGGTCAATCTGTTTGCATTGGTCATCTCTCTCTCTCTCTCTCTCTCTCTCTCTCTCTCTCCTGTCTCTTATACACATCTAGATGTGTATAAGAGACAGGAAGGGAACTGTGGTCCAACACGCTCATCATTAACCCTGCTC